AATATCTCTCGTTGCCACGGTAAAAACGGAAGAAAGGTACGTTAAAACAATAGAAAGTGTTATGTGCTGTGAGACATTGAAACGAGAAGGGTTAATACCAAAAATCCGTGAGAAAAATTTAGGATTTAATTCACACATATAAAAAATTAAAGGGTTCAGTTCGATATTCCAACCACCTGAAGAAGGCCGGAGCGTACAATGGCCGAAACGTTGTAATAAATATAGCGACAAAGATGAAGACAATAGTCCGAATAATGTAAATAACGTACATAATACCTCATCTCAGAAATATAGACAGATACTTAATTCATACATAATCGACTTGAATTGTATGTCGATCATTTTGACTAATCGAAAAATGACCCATACTTAAGCCAGAGTGTTGGAAATCTGGGACGACCGCCTAAGGTGTTGCACGATTACATTTGGTGCTGTGACCAGGATCGAGCCGAAAAGACTACAATTTAGTGCGGAATTGACCTCGGGTTGACTACAACGAACCCTAGAATGCAGACAACGGAAAGCAAGGAGAGAAGAAAAGGAGTAAGATCAACGGACTCAGGTCATTTGGGACAAACGGTTCTGAAAATATCTTCCGCAATTTTTTTATTCTCTGGATAAAGTGACAGCGGCCCAGAAGCAAGTGACAAGTGACAGGTTTCGGTTTTCAACTCTTTCCCTGAAATTTCTAGAATTGCTTTTTTTTTTACGATTTTCGATTTTGCTCGATTTGAATTGATTTATTGACGAGTGGCCAATGGTCGGTGATGTTTAAAATGGTAGATGTTGAGGATGAGATGGCAAGGCAACAATACGTTAGTTGTATGGGGAATTGCGTTTGGAGGAGCTCAAAAGATTTGGATACTCGTCAGTCGAGAATTTATTTAACATGCGTGACCACAGGTCGGAAAGGTCTGAAGTGTGCGATTTCGAGAATGAGAGACCGAGGCAACAGTCTGCTAGTGGTCTGAGGGAATTGCTGAGAGGGCCCAGAGTCCCAGCCTTCGTGGGGAACGCAAAGGGACTGAAAGATTGGATAGCGTAAAGCAAGAAGCGACGGTGGATATATGAGCTGTCTGAGAAGAAAACCATACGTAGCGTATAGCGCTGCGGTATGTACCCTTTTGGATTTCATAGGGTAGCGCTTGGGAGATCCCAGTTCACCTGGAGTGAGCTTGAGGAACTAATTATAAAGGAATATGCCGATGATGCGACAGCGATTGAGGCAATGTGCAGCCTCATGAAATTAATGCCTTTGAAGGAAGTAACCCCTGGGGCGCTAGGAGTTTGTTCGGAGAAACTGGTCGCTCTAACCTTTCCGGAAGAGGTCAGGAGAAACACCATTATGCAAGTCCAGCTGGCCGTTATACTTAGAGGCGATCCGAAATAAGAGCGTACGATATGACACTAAAAGAAGCACCGGTCAAGCTGTCAGCGACGATGGCGCTGGCCAAGGATAGCCATGGTGTATGGGAGAAAGTAAAGAGAAAAAAGTCACAAGAGCGGAGTTGGGAGGTAAGCAGACATGAGGAGGGGGAAGGGAGCCCACACCTGGTATAGAAAGGAGGAACGGGAAGAGATTCCCAATGGAGGAGACAAGACTCTCTCTGTGGCATAGGATTTACGAACGCACACCAGGCCGGCTGAAGCCTACATGTTGGATCTGTCATCACGAAGTTCACAATGTAGTGGACGGTCCAACAGGGTGCGGATTGCCCCCGGATTGCGATGAGCTGGAATGCACCAGATGCAGTCGTCGTGGGCACGAGACGAGTTGGTGTAGGACCAAGAAGATAGAGCTCCCGGTCCCCCTGTCAACATCGAAGGAAACCGCCCTGGAAGGCATAACCGGGGAAACGCATAGGGGTCGGCCTCAGTACGAGAGGTAAGGAGGAGGGTGGCCTATGTGAGAAAAGAAATAAAATACTGGTTCTGCGAGGAGCCGGGACTCCTGAAGAGAAACTGCCCGAAAAGAATGTGCTAGGTCTGCATGGAGTCGGGTCACCTAAAGATAAGCTGTTAGCAGAACATTGAGAGGGACAAACTGAGAAAAACCCAGCCAGATCGGGGGTTTCCAGTAATAATGCAAATAAAGGATTACTGCTGCTAGCACGCATGTCTTGCTAGACAGAGAATTGTCACCCCAGGCGAGGAATGGCCAGAGTGTTCCCTCTATTGATATTGTCTCATTCCCCCACGAGAATGAGATGTGACACAAGGTCGGATTAATGTGGGGTCCCGAGCGCGTACACCCGGGCAGAGACAAAAATCCCCCTCAGCCCCCGCAACCGTCGGTTGCACTGGCCTCGCTTCGAGCACCGATCCCTCCCTCTTGTGCAATGGGAGGGTACGGCCTCAGGCAGCTGTTCCCCAGGGCTGTTCAGTATAATTTTCCTCAGTTGCCCCCTCTGTCCTTTGACAGAGAAGCCCCTGAGCGCACTCTGTCCAAGGACAGAGACGCAACTGCGAGATGATAAGAAAATGTGAAATTACCCCAAAAGAGGAATTTGCACACTATATTTTCCCTCTATTAACCCCAAAAAAGAGAGATCTCTTGTGAGGCTATGGTAGGAAGTTTAGCAATACAGGCCCTGCTAGATACTGGGGCATCAGTCTCATTGCTAAGGGAGAAGCAGTGCAGACGTTTTAAAGAATCGGGGGGTTATGCGGAAAGTAGACATAGAGATCCCTCAGGCGGACGGTACCCCCATGATGAAATAAGGAATGGCGAAACTCCAGAAATTCTATGTAACCCCTAATTTATGTACAGAAACAATACCGGGAGAAGATTGGCTTAATCGCTATGGAGCTAAAATAGAATTTAACCCAGCTGAATTAGAAGTAAATGGCGTAAGGACGCCATTGGGAGGCCCATATGAAGGGGCCTATGACAGTGGTGGTTAAGAAAGAAGTTCTTTAACTGGTCCCTGTAGAGGAAAAGGGCCGTTAGGAAAATGACGTAACCCTGTCTGATATAGTGATTTATGCTGCAGAAATAGCGTCCATAATATTGGTAAATCAGGCCAACAAGACAGTAAGAATAAAGAAAGCGGAAGAGGTAGGAAGGGCCTTAACCCTGAGGAATATACAACGGGTAAAGATCGATAAGAGAAGAAAGGTGTTTAGAGCGGGTAGGATGGCTAGAAGACGAAGAAACAGAGGACGCTTATAGATATAAGGACAGAATGCGAGGCCTGCTGAGAATGGTGTCCAAGTCAGACAAAGGGTTGGGCCAGATAAATTCGGTGAAAATGAAAATTTATACGGGTAACCACCCAACAAAATTTAATTTGTGCTGCAATAATCAAGGCTGAAGGAGACAAGACCAAAATTTAATCATTTTTTTTTGTTTGTTTTTACCATAATAACATTTCTATTAAAATATGCCTCACTTTTTATCATGTATAATAATACGCTCTTAATTAGAGTAAAAAAAACAAATGCTTTTGGGACTAATTTTTAAAAAATTACTAGCATTGTATAGCTATATATAGATAGATAGATAGAACTTTTGAACTGTAATGTTTATATATATATATATATATATATATATATATATATATATATATATATATATATATATGATCATGAAAAAAATATTTCGGTTGAGCTCTCTGGGTAGGAAGCGTGAGTTAGTAAACAGTGACTCTTACGGCTAATTATACAAGTCTCTTCGGTAAAGCGAATCGAGTTCTCCAAGTCACTGTTTGTTTATCTAAAAATAAATACGCTTAAATTCACCTCCATCCCCGGCGTGCGCCAGCGGTAGAATCTTAAACTGACGCCAATTCTGTCGGATTTCGATCCTAGCTAGAGGAAACCGGACGTCTAGACAAAATGATGAGCTGTGAAATAGTCTATCTGTAGATGACTATATATATATATATATATATATATATATATATATATATATATATATATGTTATTTGTATAGATACACATATTTGAGTAAATTTTCTGTTTATAATAATCAATATTATCAACGTTTGCCGGCGTGAACGTCCGAAAATTTTTCATATAGAATATGTGTCCCCGACAGGAATCGAGCCTCTATCCTACACGGAACTGTCATATAACCTGAGGTGCTATACCAATTTAGCTACAGAGGAGCGTTTGGCTAGCAAGGTCGATTTTACAGATTCCTCTGTAGCTAGGCTGGTATAGCACGCCAGGCTATATGACGGTTTCGTGTAGGATACAGGTTCGATTCCTGTCGGAAGACGCATATTTTCTATGAAAATCTCTCGGACGTTCAGGCCAGTAAATTTTGTAATACTGTTTATTATAAACAGAGCATTTACTTAAATATTTGTGTCTATATAAATAACGTGTAACAATATATATATATATATATATATATATATATATATATATATATATATATATATATAGCCATCCATTAGTCAGACTGTTTCGCTGTTTCACAGCTCATCAGTGTGGCTAGACATCCGATTGCCTCACGCCGGGATCGAAACCTGATTTTTTTATCAGTGGGAGATTTTGCCCCTAGGCCATTGACGCACATCAGGGACGAAGGTGAATTTAGACGTATTTATTTTTAGATCAACACACCAATGAACAGAAAACACAATTCGGTATAGCGAAGAGTCTTGCACCAGCAGCAGTAATAGTCACTGTTTACAAATTCTCTTTTAATCATTGATCATTTCACTTTCATTTTGGTTGCCCATTTTTTTTTTCTAGATATATATCTTTTTTTCTCTTTTTACTTCCTCGTCAGCAATTCAGGTGAGTTTTCTTCCTTTTGTTTCTGTTTCTGCTTTCACTTCACCTTCTTCATATCTTTTTTTCATATTCACTCTCTTTCATTTTGACTTCTTACCATTGTCACTTCCTTATTTCCTTCTCTAATTTTCGTTTCCTTTTTTATTGCTTTTCTTCTTAATTTCTTCTCTTTCATTTTACTTTACTATCATCTACTCCATTATTTTAAATTTCCTCACTTTAACATTTTCTCCTTTTCATTTTTTTTTATCTAGATATCTCCTTCGTTTTCGTCGTCTTCTTTTTTCTTCACTCATTTCTTTATAATCTTCCATTTCTCCTCCTTTTCCCATTTCACTTTCTTCCATCTCTCTTCCTTTTTCGTTTTCTATTCTTTTTTATTTTTCTCCTTTTTTTCTTTATTTTCCTCTGTTTCCATTCTACCTCCTTTTCCCTTTATTCTTTTTCTTCATCATTTTCCTTTTGTTTTTTCATTATCTCTTTTCTTTATCATCCTCCATTTCTCGTTTGTTTGTTTTTCATTTCTACTTCTTTCTTTTTTCTTTTCCTCATCGCATTTTCTCTTTTCTTTATTTTCCTATTCTTCCATTTCTCTTCCTTGTTTTCATTTATTCTTCTTCTTTCATTTCTCTTTCGTATTTCATTTCTTTTCTTCTTTTTTCTTACGTTTCTTTTTTCATTTATTCCTCCTCCTTCTCCCCCTCCTTCTTCTTTTATTTATCTTCCTTTAATCATTTCGTCTTCTTTTTCTTCTTTCATTAGTCTTACTTTTTCATTTCTTCTTACATTTCTCTCCCTTTTTTATTTCTTTCCTTCTTCTTCTTTTCCCCCCATTTCTCTTCCTTTTGTCATTTCGTCTTTTACTTTCATGAATCTTCATTTTTTATTTCTTCTTCTTCTTCTTCTTCTTCTTCTTCTTCTTCTTCTTCTTCTTCTTCTTCTTCTTCGAGCGTTTCTCTCCCTTTTTTATTTCTTCTCCTTCATCTTCTTCATCTTCTTCTCCTTCTTCTTCTTCTTCTTCTTCTTCTTCTTCTTCTTCTTCTTCTTCTTCAAGCATTTTATCTTTAAAGTTCCCTTCTCTACTTGTCTCGATTTTTCATTCTTCTCAAACTGCTGACCTCGTAAATGCCTTTACTAGAAGACTTCCCGCGTAAAGTGTTTAGCCGGCATTTTTAATCTGCAGACATCGCCATTTTGGCGTCTCACTCGCAAAACGATGATTCAACTTATAAAAGATGCATTCTGACATAACCTTTTGTCATTCGGAAATTCCTACCTGCTTACAACGCGCCACCCTGCATACCAAAAGGATTACACTCCCCAGGGCGGGGGGAGATATCACTACTTTTTCTACTTCAAAATAAATAAATGTCGGGAACAATAAGATAAATGTGTAAACAGATATTTAATCTGAATAAAATTATTGGCTTCCTTTTTCTTTTAAGAGTTTTATTGAAATGAAGAAAATGAATTATTTACAAACAGCTGAAGGGCGTTGTTACGTAATGATAGACTGACAGGATCAGTTATTTTGATCAGGATAAATTTGATTTCACTTTTAATAATTCCGTAAATCTTGCAATAGGAATTATTCTTAAGGACGTAAATAAAAGATGGCAAGAGAAATAAAAAGAAAAAGGTGAAAGGATAGTCGAAACAATTGTATTGATGAGAAGATATTTGGTAAATTGTTACGTTAAATCTAAAGTAAATCTAATGTTGTTTGATTTCTTGGTTCGTTTTTTACGGCTTATCAAACAGTTGAGTGTTATTTAAAGGCAGAACATATTTTTATATTATATATGATTTTGTTGAGAAGATAATAATTATTTAGTCTCATGGCTAGAAGGAGAATAGTTGGATTCGTAATTTTCTCAAGGAAATATGCGCGGAGATGAATATAACGAACCTATCTGGAATTGGAACTCGGCTCTGCCATTAACAATTCTGAGCCATTATTGATTACAGCACGCGCACACGCAAGCATACAGCACTTGCTTGTCTCCTAACTAGCTACTGACTAAGCTGGATGTTGCTTAACTTCGTAACTGGTATTTTAACGAGATATGGTCGTAAGCAGAATGTAAAGTGATTCTGAATAATTGGATCATTTTAATTCATTTTTGAGGGGATTTTTATAATCATTTAATAAAATAACCGTCACATTATTTACAATATTCGGATTGTTATCCTCATCTTCATTGTCATATTTACAAAGTTTCGGCCATTTTACGCCTCGGCCTTCTTCAGACGATTATAATTTCGAGCCGAACACTTTATTTCGTCCATCGGGGTAGATTATTCTCGTTCCACATGCCATACATCTTCGGAATGTCACAATTATTTCCCTTTCACTGAACTCGCTATTTTTTGTTTAACTACTACTGGAGCCTGGTATCGAACTCACAGCTCTTTGTGCCTAGTCACAAGAGCTAACCAACGTCTTTATCCACTGAACCATGTGTCCTTGAGGTGGGACTAGATCTCTCTTTATTTCTTGTTATTTCTTTCTCTCTATCTCTCTCTATTTCCTGCTATATCTCTCTTTATGTCTTTACCTCATTGTATATTTCTCTATCTCTCTCTATCTCTGTTCATCTTTCTCTATCTCTCTCTGTATATCTCTATATATCTCTTTATCTCTCTCTATCACTCTCCATCTCTCCCTTTCTTTCTGATTTTATCTCTCTATATCTCCCTTTATCCCTCTATACATATAGCTTTATATATCTCTTTGTATCTCTCTATCTCTCTTTATCTTTCTCTTTCTCTCTCTTTCTTTATATCTCTCTTTACCTCTCCCTTAATCTCTCTCTATCTCTCCTTAACCCTCTTTATATCTCCAATTCATGTCTACCTTCTCTCTATATATATCACTTCAGTCTTGTATCTCATTGTATATCTCTCTTTCTCTCTCTCTCTTTATATCTCTATATCTCTCTTTACCTCTCCTTTAATCTCTCTCTATCTATCCTTAACCCTCTTTATATCTCCAATTTATGTCTACCTTCTCTCTATATATATCGCTTTGTGTCTCAGTCTTGTATCTCATTGTATATCTCTCTATCTTTATCTCTCTATATCTCGCTTTACCTCTCCCTTAATCTCTCTCTATCTCTCCTTAACCCTCTTTATATCTCCAATTTATTTCTACCTTCTCTCTATATATATATCACTTTATGTCTCAGTCTTGTATCTCATTGTATATCTCTCTATCTCTCTCTCCCTCTCTTTATATCTCTATATCTCTCTTTATCTCTCCCTTAATCTCTCTCTTTCTCTCCTTAACCCTCTTTATATCTCCAATTTATGTCTACCTTCTCTCTATATATATCACTTTATTCCCCAGTCTTGTTTCTCATTGTATAACTCTCTATCTCTCTCTCTATCTCTTTATATCACTATATCTCTCTTTATCTCTCTCCAATTTTCTCTTTCCACCTTTTTCTATCTCTCTATATCACTCTTTACCTCTCTATGAATATAGCTTTATATATATCTTTATTTATGAATAAAAATGACAATAGGAAAACTAGTAAATGCTGACGCGTTTCGTCCAATGCGGACTTTATCAAAGCAAAATACGAAATGAATATAATATGACAAGGTAACTAAGGAAAACGGAAACAGTTATTAGCAACTGGTGTGTGGAGAAACGCTACTTTCATATCTCTTTACATCTTCCTATCTCTCTGTGAATCTCTCTTTCTCAATTTCTTTATGTGTCTATATCTCTCTTCATCTCTCGCTATCTCTTTATCTGTATTGATTTTCTAAGCGTAACTTAGATGTGGCACAAGGCCGAAAGTATGGGGCATCTAGTGAGGATCGAACTCACTTTTCAGTCGTAACTGATCTAGCAAGACAAGCTTTCTAACGATTACACCACGCCGAGGTGCCCAAGTGATTTTCTAAGCGTAGCTTAGATGTGGCACAAGGCCGAAAGTATGGGGCACCCAGTGAGAATCGAACTCACTTTTCCGTCGTAACTGATCTAGTAAGACAAGCTTTCTAACGATTACACCACGCCGAGGTGCCCAAGTGATTTTCTAAGCGTAGCTTAGATGGGCACAAGGTCGAAAGTATGGGGCACCCAGTGAGAATCGAACTCACTTTTCCGTCGTAACTGATCTAGTAAGACAAGCTTTCTAACGATTACACCACGCCGAGGTGCCCAAGTGATTTTCTAAGCGTAGCTTAGATGTGGCACAAGGCCGAAAGTATGGGGCACCCAGTGAGAATCGAACTCACTTTTCCGTCGTAACTGATCTAGTAAGACAAGCTTTCTAACGATTACACCACGCCGAGGTGCCCATGATTTTCTGCGTAGCTTAGATGGGCACAAGGTCGAAAAGTATTCACCCAGTGAGAATCGAACTCACTTTTCCGGCGTAACTGATCTAGTAAGACGTTTTCTAACGATTACACCACGCCGAGGGCCGAAAGTTAGATGGGGGCCGAAAGTATGGGGCACCCAGTGAGAATCGAACTCACTTTTCCGGCGTAACTGATCTAGCAAGACAAGCTTTCTAACGATTACACCACGCCGAGGTGCCCAAGGATTTTCTAAGCGTAGCTTAGATGTGGCACAAGGCCGAAAGTATGGGGCACCCAGTGAGAATCGAACTCACTTTTCCGGCGTAACTGATCTAGTAAGACAAGCTTTCAACCATTACACAACCAGTGAGGATAGAACTCACAACCCAGTTGTAATTGTTCTAGCGAGACATGATTGCTAACCATTACACCGCCTTGAGGTGCCCACAGCGATTTTCTAAGCCCGGCTTAGATGTGGCACAAGGCCGTTAGTATGGGGTACCCAGTGAGTATCGAACTCACTACTCAGTCGTAACTGATCTAGAAAGACAAACTTTCTAACCATTACACCACGTCACCGAAATAATGCCTAGAATATCTAATAGATTTCGCGAATATTTCTGAACAGTTCATTTAGATGGTACCCAGCTCGAATATGAAGAAAAGCAATGACGTAGACAAAGATGTAAAGGAAACGGACTATCAATAGCAAACAGACGGTAGAGGAGTATGCTAACCTATATATATATATATTTCACTATTTACATTATTGAGACTATTTTCCAAGCGTAGCTTAGATGTGACACAAGGCCGAAAGATGAGGCATCCAGTGAGGATCGAACTTACTTTTCAGTAGTAACTGACAAGCTTGCTAACCATTACACCACGCCGAGGTGCCCTTTCTTTCTAAGCGTAGGCCGAAAGTATGGAGCACCCAGTGAGAATCGAACTCACTACTCAGCCGGAACTGTTTTGGCGAGACAAGCTTGCTAGCCGTTACACCACCTCGACACTATCTGTATCTCTCCTTAACTCTCTTTATATCTCCGATTTATTTCTCTCTTCTCTGTCTTTATATCGCTTTGTCTCTGTTTATCACTCTCTATCTTTCTCTCTTAATCTCTCTCTCTTTCTCACTCTCTCTTTCTCTCGTTATTTATTCCACCTTGTTTAAATAATTTGTTGTGTGAATTTTGATAAACTGAACTTTTCTATCACTGTTATTTCTTCTTGTTCTTTTATTTTAATTTTGTTTAAAATGCCGCGGCCATTTTCTTCATCTTCGAGCTGGGTACCATCTACATGAACTGTTCAGAAGGCTTGATTTATTCGCGAAATATATTAGGTATTCTAGACATTATTTCTGTGAAAATAGTCTGCATACGGCTGCATAAGGAATTGAGAAAGATCACAGAGAAAGGGGCTTCAGACACGGATGCTTCTTCACACGGTATTTACTTACTTTATACAGCGAGGCAATCTAATGAGAATTAGACTTGAGATTTTTTTTTATTCGTAGAGACAGACATAACAATATAAAATATGCAGATGACACCATGTTGAATGCAGACAGAAAAAAAATGAAGGAATCACATAGACAAAGATGTAAAGGAAACCGCAAAGAACGGACTATCAATAGCAAACAGACGGTATGTATAATTTCAGCAAGACCAGGATGTGAGGTAAAATATGGCTACCTCAAAATCACGCTATTACCGAAGTTTAATTATATGGGAATATACTAACCTATATATTTTTTTCACTATTTACATTATTCAGACTATAGGCCTCATCTTTGTC